CACAGAGCTCCTAAAACCCTTGGAATGGCCTAAGTGATGAGAGCACAAAGGTGTCTTTTGTTATGTTAATGAGGTGACTTTTGGAAAGCATTTAAGGATGAGTCTGGTTGCCTGCCAGTGGTGCCAACCACATGATTAGAGAGTTGGATGTCAGGGGAGGGGAGAGGGCCTGGAGATTGAATCCAATCACCAAAAGCCAATGATTTAATCACGCATGCTTGTGTAATGAAGCTTCCATAAAACCCAGAGGGATAGCTACTAGGTTGGTGAACTCTTGGAGATGTGGGGAGAGGAGTGTACCTGGAGAGGGCCCGGAGGCACCGCACGCTTTCCCCATACCTTGCCCTTTGTGTCTCTCCTTCTGGCTGTTGATTTGTATCCTTTAACATTCCTTGCAATTAACTGGTAATATGGTGAATAAACTGGTTTCCTGAGTTTTCTGTCACTTTAGTAAATTAACCAATCTCCATGAGGCGGTTGTGAGAACCTCTGATTTACAGAGCCAGTTGGTCTGAAGCACAGATGACCATTGGACTTGCCATTGGCATCTGAAGCAGAGGGCAGTCTTGTGGGACTGAGCCCCTAACCCGTGGAGTCTAATGCTGTCTCCAGATAGAGAGTGCCAGAACTGAGTTGCGTTGCAGGACACCCAGCTGGTGTTGGAGGAAAGTTGCTTGGTGGTGTGGGAGCTCTGCCCTCACAATGGACTGATGCAGAAACTTCACTGCTCTTGAAGGGATCCACAGTAAGACATGTCCTGTCACAGACTTCACTGCAGTGCTGGAGGTGGTAGGATGATCTTACTCCCATTTTACTGATGAAGAAACTGAAGCCTGGAGAGGCTAATGACTTTTCCCAAAATGGGAGATTGGAGGTACCAAAATGGTAGACCCTGACTCCCAACTCACTGTCCTTTTCTCAGTGGCAAACCTTGGTGTCCCCCAGGCACCTCTCTGATATAAGGAAGGACACTTGGGTGAAGACCAACAAGAAATGGAATCCTTTGCTGCTGTCTTCATTTTAGTTCTCAAAACTAGCAGTGGATTTGTTTAGAACAAGCCTTGTCCTTTGATTAGAACTATTGGTAAACTATTGATACCTTAATGGGTAATAGGAGCAGAGAGGGACTTTTAGCCTTTTAGTTAAGATATTATGGATGGGGCTACCCAGAGCAGCTGGAACTGAGCAAGCTTGTGAAAATCTAACTAAAAATTGAGAGAAATATTTCAAGAATTGATTAGTGATGTCTGCCTTGGCACAGGACATCTGCTACTACAGAAAAGACCAGGTAAAGAAGGCTAGGACCATGGTTAGCTCATGTGTTAAGCCACAGGCTGGAATTTGGAGCAGTGAAGAAGGTAGGTCACCAGTGACAAAATGATGCCGAAAGTTGGTGGCTGGTCTGGAGTTTCGGTTACTCCACCACCCTAAATTCCTTTTTTGCTCTATCCTTCTCTCTCAGAATTCTATTATACTGCTTTAGAATCCCAATAACCTTGTAGAATGCAAACACACACACACACACACACCTTATTTTACACAGCAGACAATTAAAGCAAAAATTCTGGATCCTGCTCCAAATTTTGCCTTCAGCATTTTGTCTCCCCTAGTACCAACATTGATTAGTTCCACTTGAGTCTCACTTTCCCCATATGCAAAATAAAGGTGTTGGGACAGGGCACTAATTCTCAAAAAGCATGCAAAGAAACAGTAGTTCCTTAGGATGGTAGCAGCTATTACGTGGAATAGTTTTCCATGACTACTTTCTTTTGGAATATTGCTAGACTGATAACATTTTTTTTAACTACAAGACATTTTAGATTTGTAATAAGAATTCACCTTAAAGTTACTCAGTTCCCCAGACTTACTTGAAAACAGGGAATACACCATACACCATAGTCCTTAAAGGTCTTTCAGCTTTAAAATGCCAAAATTCTTTACCGATTTCCTTTGAGAATAGAGGTATAAAGAGATGCATAATCAATGACTGGCTTATTTTAGTTCTCTCCCTTAGATATGATATGGTGGTTGATTTTTAACCACAGCATTTAAGTGGCTCAAAGCAAATGGCAACCCTGGGGGTCATTTCTCTAGTTGAGCATTTGAAGATAAATCAATCAGGTTAAGAACAACTGAAATGATTTTTTTCCTTAAGACCAGACTAGGTTATTTCAGTTACTTTAATGATGTAAATCACGTGATAAAAACAACTGGCAGAATTGACTGCAGAGCAGTGTTGACTAGGGGTATTTTTGTCAGCATAGCTGCTGTGAAGGTTTTCCATTTGAAAGTTTCAAGTAGCAAAATCCTACTCTGTCCCAAGCTGTGTGGTGGGTTTAGCACTTCAGCACAGCGTAGGGTAAAGTTGTCAGGGAGACATACACAATGTTAGTCTCCATCCACAGTGTGGTGGAGTTCTAGGTGCCCAACCCTGGGTGGCTCTCCACACTGGGGAGGTGTCCAGCCTGGGGCAACTCCTGCTGCCTATGACTTTCCTAGAGACAGACTATTCCTTCAAATGAAGGGCTATCTTTCTCTATTCAAAAGAGGTCACACTTTTATTTATTTATTTATTTTAAACATTTTTTTTATTGAGTTATAGTCATTTTACAATGTTGTGTCAAATTCCAGTGTAGAGCACAATTTTTCAGTTATACACGAACATATATATATTCATTGTCACATTTTTTCTCTGTGAGCTACCACAAGATTTTGTATTTATTTCCCTATGCTATACAGTATAATCTTGTTTATCTTTTCTACATTTTGAAATCTCAGTCTGTCCCTTCCCACCCCCTGCCCCCTTGGCAACCACAAGTTTGTATTCTATGTCTATGAGTCTGTTTCTGTTTTGTATTTGAGGTCACATCTATTTAATCTACCTTTCAGGAAGTCTGGTCACGAATAACTTCAAACTCTCCATACCAATAGTTTTCATCAAAGACTATTTCAGGGTCAGCATTGATAAATAAGAATGGAAAGTGCAGTGGTTATTATTAACCAAAGCACCATCTGAATCATTTATAAAATTAAAACAAACATGCTTGGCTCCACCCCTGAAAACTCTGATGTGTTTGCAGGCATCAATATTTTAGAAAGCTCCACAGATAACAACCTATATGTCCATCGATAGGAGACTGGATACACAAAGTGTGGTATATTCACACAATGGAAAACTACTCAGCAATAAAAAGGAAAATGCTGTTGTTATACACAGCAACATGGATGCTTAACACTCAAACATTAGGCTAAGTGACAAAAGTTTCAGTCACTAAAAATGTACAAGGTAGAATTCCATTTACATGAAGTTCAAAAATAGGCAAAGCTAGTACCTGTGTAAGAGATCATAATTGTGGTTTCTACTGAGGGAAAGTGGAATTAACAACAAAAGGACACAAGGGCACTTCCTAGGGGTGATGCAGATATTCTGTACCTTGTTTTAGGTGACAGTCTACACAGATACATACAGCTTAAAATGTGAACTGGACCCATAAGAGATCTGCATTTTATTGTATATAATTTTTACCTCATTTAAACAGAAAAAGTTCAACTTCCCTGTAAGTCCCCACATCAGGGTCCTATCCCTGTGCCAAAGCCCAAGAAAGAATCATCTCCACCCAAGGGATGGGCCTAACCCAGCTCAGCCCAGTGACAGCCTCAAGCAGTGGAACAGTTCGCCAACCTCTCTCTGCCTTATATCACACAACTCCCCATTCTCATTTACCCTCCAAAATTTCTCCCATCCTTTCTCTGTCTTTTGGATGATGAAACTCTAGAGAACTCAACATACAATAACCAGCTTAATAATAAACACATAGGTTCCAGGAACAGTGCTTCTTTCCTATCTCCGTTTCAGTAGCCACACCTGCATTCCTGGAAGGAGTCCCTTCCATCTCAGGCCACTCTGTAGTTTACTGAGCACCTACTATGTGCTGGACCATGGTGGCTCCTTTACCAAGGCTATCTCATTTTCTTTTCAAAGTAGCCCTGAGAAGTTGATCTCTTTTACTGTCCTCCCCATTTTCCAGATTAGTAATTGATAAGGGAAGATAAATAGTGGGCCTGAAGGTGACATCAGGCTGATTAAGTGGAAGATTCAGGGTTAGAACAGTGATTGCAAAACCCCTTACAATTTAAGATCCCTTTCTTTCCAGGGCCTGAGGGGAGACAAGCAGAGAGGCGTGTTGAAAGGAGAGATACACTTGAGTGTAAAAGGGGCAAAGGTCCTTACTTGACCATGCTTTTCATGTCCAGTTACCAGAATTTAAGCCAGTCAAGTCCTATACACCCAAGCAGTCCCATGCTCTCAGGCTTGCCCCTGCTGGTAGCTTAAAAGTGGCAGCCTCAGGACGACTTTTATATGATATAACTTAGAAAACAAAAAAGAAGCAAGTGGAGGATGTAGAGATGGTTTTAGTTTTAGGATTCTGGCTCCCTGAGATCAGAGGAGTGGGTTCCTGTTCGGGGGTGGCGAGGCACAGGGAGAAGCATTGGAGCAGATTCTGTGGGGTGTGTGTGTATATGTGTGTCTGCGCGCCTGTGCGTGGAGCGGGGATTGCTGTACCCAGCGCGAGGCACTGGGGGAGGAGGAAGCGGTAGCTGAGATCTGAATAATTGATTCCTCAGCCGCACCAGACGCCCAGGAGCGGGAGCGGGCGGAGAGCGTGGTTTCAGCACGACGGACAGCGGCGAGCGCCGCCGCAGGCGCCCCTGCCTCTAGCCAGCCACCTATCCTGGCCTTATCGCCGCCGTGCGCTCCGGGAGCCGGTGGCCGCGCTCTGCGCCGCCGCCGAGGGACTGCGGGGTCTGCCTTAGCCCGCCGCTGGGGAGGGTGGCTGCGGACGGGAGACTCTTTCGCTCGCCGGAGCTCCAAGCCTTTACGGTTTTTGCGGGGGCTGCTGCGTCTCGCCGACTGAGAACAAGTCCCCAAGTTGCAGTGGGGGCGCCCCTGGCTTCCTCCTCCTCTTCCTCCGAGGCGACCGCAGCAGAAGCACGCCTGGGGAGCCCGATTTGGCCAGAGCTGCGAATCAGGGTGGCCAGGAGCTCTCAGGACTCCCGCCGGAAAGTGGGGAGCTGAACGCCAGGCGCGGAGCTGGCCCCGCAGCTAAGGGCTAGAGGGAGCTGCCTTCCCCCGCCCGCGCCTCTCTCGGCCGGGGACCGCGGGGGATCCCCGGCCACACGCGCGCGCGCGCTCCCACATTCAATCACACACTCGCCCTCACACACACACCAGCTCGGAGCCTGGGCTGCGGAGAGGACTCCTGGGCGCTCTCAGAGGATCGGGCAGCTGCTGTCCGGAGTGGGGCAGGAAGCCGAGCTCAGGCTCTCGGAGGGAGGCGCCGAGGGCTTAGCCGGGGCATGGGGCCGGGTGAGCGCTGAGAGTCGCGGCCGCAGCCATCATCCCTGGAGATGACCAGGGGCGGCCACTGCTGAGAACTATGTGGAGAGAGGCTGCGGTGAGTGCTGGCATGGGACGCTGGGTCTGGGCAGCCCCTTTGGGAAGAGGGCGGTGGGAGGCCTTGATAAGAGGGGGCGACAGGACCGCAAGAGGATCGTTGCGTGGGAAAGATCGCACCTCCCTCGGGGATCCGGGACCGCGGGAGCCGGAGTCCTTCCCTCCCCCTCTCCTCCTGCCGACACATCGCAAACTCAGCCAGCACCCCCACTCAACCCCCCATTCCCTCCTCTTTCTCTCCCTACCCGCCTTGCTCAGCAGCTCCTGGCCGCACAACTCCCAGCAGCCGGCGCCAGGGAGGTGGCAGGGGGTGAGAGTGGAGGTGCCCTGTTAGCTTCTCGAGGGTGGCCAACCTGGGGCTCCGGTTCTCTTGTGCTCCCCGAAGTGGAGCTCTCCATTTCGGCCTCAGGGTCTTAGGATCCCAACTGGGGGCGTCTCGAGCACGGAGCTTCAGCTCCCCGTCTCCGGTAGAGCCCCCTGTGCGCACAGAGGGGCTGTGAGCACTGCAGACTGCAGTCTGTCCCCCCGTTCTCCACCCCCCGCCGGTGGGCTGATCCTGCCTCTCCATCTCTTCTCCGCCCTCATAGAGCCCTGCTGCAGAGCCTCCGGCTGGGATAGCCGCCCCCCGTGGGGGCGATGCGGACAGCGCGGGACAGCCAGGGGAGCGCGCGGGGGCCGCAGCATGCGGGAACCCGCTAAACCCGGTGGCTGCTGAGGCGGCCGAGATGCTCGTGCGCGCAGCGCGCCCCACTGCATCCTCGACCTTCTCCGGCTACAGGTACGTCCCAGCGGGAGACCTGGGCTCGGCTGGCCGGGCAGAAGGAAGACTCGACTAGAGGGAGAGCGGGAGAAGGATCAGGGGAGAGAGGGAGAAATAAAGCGGGAGAGGGAGCACTGCTAGCGAGGTGCGGGAGAAGCACCAGGGGGCGCTGCGGCTCCGCGATGCTCAGCCGAAGAGTGCCGAGGCCCGTGCGAGTTCGCCTCAACTTCCCCGGGCTCCAGCAGCGCCCGGCCCGAGGGGCGCGCGCCAGTGCACGCGTGCACGACTGTGCCGGTATTTGCAGGCAGGCACTGCTGTGTACCTGGCGCGATACGTGTGTGCACCGCCCGAGGACGTGTGCAGACTCCGGATGGCCGTGGGCTCCCCTACTGCGGCCTGCAGATGTGCGCAGAAATGCGTGCGTGCCTGTGAGGGTGTGCAGCCCGCTGCCCACGTGCACCTAAGACTTGGTAACAGAACCTGAAGGAAAGGCTGGGATGGGTGGGTGGGGGTGCTGTACATTTCACGTCGGTCGGAAGGTTTCTAGGGAGCCAACTGTCCCCTGCCCCACACCCTTGTGCACATTCTTCGCCAGCTCCCACGCGCCGGCCCGCGGGGGAACCTGCCTCCTCTCCGGAATTCTGCATTGCACACGGCGAGCGTCAGAGATTGTGTGTGTGTGTGTGTGTGTGTGTCTGTGTACGCTCGCGTGTAAGGGGTGGATCCTAGGGCTGCTTGCAGTTGAGTGAAAATCGCTTTACGGCCCCTTTGCGCAAGGTGGGGCGGACCCTAAGTTCTCCCAGGCACCCTAGATCCTGGGGCACACAAGCGAGCGTCCTTACTCCCATGCGTTTGGGATGTACCCTGCAGGAGAGGTGCGGGGTCTGCAGCCCGTGCCGGTGCCGGTGCCGGTGCCGAGTGGAGTCAGGTGGGTGCTGAACCCCGCGGTTTCGCAGAGGGCGGGGTCAGTCAACTCGCTTAGAGCGGGAGTAGAGATGCAGAGTCGCTCTGTCGCCTCCGCACGCCCGTGACTGTTTCGCAGTTTGCTCCCTGTGAAAAGGGGGCGGGTCAGTAACTTGGTCCGCACTAGCCCGGGTGGGAGCCGGGTGGGTGGAGGGTTTGTTCTGCGCCTATGCTCAGGGGCAGTGGTCCAAAGCTAACTTGGGGGATGCGGTGGGAGTTGTGGGGAGAGTCAGAGATGGAGAGGAGGCTGAAGACCGGGGATGAGGAGGCTGAATGCGAAGATGGTTTGGGGGACAGGGATGGAGAATTAGCTCGATTGGAGTTGTAGATAGAGTTGGAGATGGGTCGAGAGTTGTGGATGGCATCGGGCATGGGGAATGGAGTTAGTGACTCCAGCAGCTCTCACTGGGAGTGGGTTCTGTACCTGGCTCCTAGAGCAACGGGCTGGGTCGGTAATCCCTTTCGTCTAGAACTCTTGCACACAGCAGCCCTGACTCTTCTTCTTCACCTTGCAGGGACTGTAAGTGGCGACTATGGGCAGACTGGGCTATTGGACCTTGCTGGTGCTGCCGGCCCTTCTGGTCTGGCGCGGTCCGACGCAGAGCGCGGCGGCGGCGAAGGGCCCACCGGCGCTGAACATCGCCGTCCTGCTGGGTCACAGCCACGACGTGACCGAGCGCGAACTGCGAAACCTGTGGGGTCCCGAGCAGGCGGCGGGGCTGCCCATGGACGTGAACGTGGTAGCGCTGCTGATGAACCGCACGGACCCCAAGAGCCTCATCACGCACGTGTGTGACCTCATGTCAGGGGCCCGCATCCACGGCCTGGTGTTTGGGGACGACACCGATCAGGAGGCCGTGGCCCAGATGCTGGATTTTATCTCTTCACAGACTTTCATCCCCATCCTGGGCATCCACGGGGGCGCATCTATGATCATGGCTGACAAGGTAAGGCCGGGAGATGGTGGGCAGCCGCGACCGAGCCAACGACAATCATATGGTGGCCACAGCAATCTTTGGGAGCCTCTGGCTTCTGTCTTGATCTGAAAAGGGGTAGTGGCCACTGACTCAAGTGAGAACCAGGTCCTGCCTCTCCAACCTGGAATTGAATGGAAATGCTTTTTGCGTTGGTTCTGAAAAGCGGGGTACTCAGAGGCACCTTGGTGTGCCTGGAAGAACTCAGGAGATGAAAAGTATGATGGGGTGAGTGGTAGTGGAATGCTTGGAGATTTCTAAGTAGTGCACAGAGGAGAGCCTGGGGGACTTGAATAAGGCTTATAGTCCTATAATGTCAATTTTACCTGCTTGTTTTGTGAAAAATGTCCATTTTCCCCCTACCGTGGTAAGCAACTAAAATGATTTCTAAATGATCAAATGTGGGAATGTTGTGGAATAAAATGCAAAGTTTTTAGGTGAACCCCAAAAAGGCAGAAAAATGTCATACTTCTGCAGACTCTCTACGGTTATGGGGAGCGAGGTGGAAAGTTTGAGAAGCCCTGGGCCAGAGGCACGTGCAGCTGTGCTTCTCTAGGGGAGCGGCTGTGAGTGGAGAGAACTGACTGCAGACCCAGAGCATCGGGGGCCTGGTGTTTTCCTACATGCTCTTTGGGAGGGACTGATAAGGGCTGCAAGGCCCTCTGGTGCAGGGGTTGGCTCCCAAGGATGGGTTTTGATACTGAAGTTAGAGGCAGTCAGAATGAAGGAAGGTGTGTCCAAATTTCTTGCTTAGAATGACAGGGGTGGGGGGGTGTCTTTCTATGGACCAGCTTAGAGTGTTGATTTGGAGAGGGTCGGGGGAGAGATTTGAAGATTTGAGTGAGATGTCATGAGTGCCTGATTTGAGAATTGTGCAGAAGTGGAGGTCGGAAAGAAAAAGCAAAGTGAAGAATGAGAAACAGGGAAGGATTGGTGTTGCAGGGCACTGTGGCTCGATCTAAGCCCCAGGAAGGGATTGGAGGGGTGAGGAAGGGAAGGGAAGCGTGAATGCACTTGTGTGCTGTGGTCCCCAGCCCTGAGACCTTCTTGGAGCGTGTTCCTTAGATAGCAGGAGACATCCTAATAGAGCGAGCAGACATTTGTCATAGCACTTTCCTTCTGACGTTCTCAAAGCACTTTTACATTTATCAAATCAGAGTCTCCTTCTGCCTCAGCAATTCCCACCAGCTCCTTTGGGAACCGTATTAATTCTTTCAGGTCTCCTGGGCTGCAGCACATTCAGCTGAAGTACACAACGGATGCAGTATCTTATTAAACATTCATTTTAAGTGGTTTGCAGCCTAGCAGAATTCCTATGTGTGGCTGAGCATTTTCCCAGCCCCCTCTCAGTTTTGGGGGGCTTCCTTCTGGGATGAAAAAAGTAGGGAACAGCCATGTCCTGCCACTGATGTATAGCTATTTCAGAACTGAGAATGGCCTTAAGAGTCTACTAGAGCATCCTGTAACTTTCAGGTGAAGGGACGGGGGCATAGGGCAGTTAAAGACTCAGCCAAGACCACATGGTGTGTGAGGGAACTAGACCTCTGGTTTTCTGGTTCTCTGATTTCTGTTGAAGGCACGGAGAAGGAGAATAGCAGCATTTTTTTTTCCTACAGGGTTTTAGAGTATGACTTTGGGACCTAAAAATTGCCACCAATTCCTTCTCCCTTCTGAAGTTTTGATGGAAGGAGTAGCTAGCACACACAAAAACAGCCATATTGTAAGTGCAAATTCTGAATTGACTAGGGCCCAGCACAATCAGTGGAGAAATCTGGTAAAAACTGGAGTGAGGCTTAGGCTGAGAGATCTGAGTTGGCGAGTATGGGGCTTAGAGTCTTACCTGACTTACCCACCTGATTGTAGGCAAAGAAGCAGGAACAGAAGTGGGTCCCCATAGTTGAACACCCCCTTGATAGGCAGTGACCCTGCTCCTCCCTTGATGCGGGTGTTAGAAAGGGAGTTTTGTGAAGTCCAGGGAATATGGGCGGAAGCATCTTCCTCTCCTAGAGCATGAAACTGCCTTATGGGGATTGGACAAGAGTGTGACTCCACTTAAGAGTAAAGAAGAAAAACGGAGTCAGGAAATGGCAAAAGAAAAATGAGAAAGGACATTTTCAGAGGAGTCAAGATGCGAGAGAGATTTAAGAGGGCACAGAGAGGAGAGGAATGAAAGTATCTGTTGGCTCAAAAGTGGTGAAAGAAACTGGATACCCCTCATTATTGTCAGGGTTTTCAAGTTGGTCCTTATGGCAGGGAATCAAAGAAGTCAGTGGGATAATATTGGGGTATGTGTTGGGTCCCATGTGTGGGCTGTGCAGATGATGTTGAGAGGAAGTGGGTTAAAGGGTGATACTTTGAGAAACCTGGTCATGTTAAAAAAGGAAGGAGATTGTCTGAGATGTGAGCAGCCCTTCCTTCCACTAGTGACACATCGAGCTGGCTGGTGCTTTTTGCCACCTATTTCTTGTGGGACTCAAGTCTGAGTGCACTTTGTGTGGCTGTGAAGAAGCAGTTGTGGGCATTGCCTAAAACTCCGACTTGTTTGGTTGCGTGTGCCAGTGGGGTTATGGCCACAAAACCTGAACCTCCCTAAGCCTATAAGATCTCTCTGTGTCCACCTAAGATGATGCTCATTTGGTAATGTTCAGAACATATTGCCTGCACTTCTAAATTGGTAGCATGATAGGTCCCTGTGGATGAGTGGTAGTTAATTTGAGTATCAGTTAAATCGAACCCTTTCCCCCTATTTTTTGCTTTTTCCTAAGTCTACTTGACTCTTGGGAAAAAAAAAGAACAAAGCTTCATAATAACTGAAATATGCTACGTGGCAGATATTTGTGGTTTACTTTGATTCACAGTGGAGAGATATAAATATTTGCTTCCATCAGTGGGTGGTCTTGAAATATAATTAATTTAGAGGTGAAAATAATGCTTGATGTAGATAAAGTTCTAATCTTATCTCGGTTTACCATTTTGATCCCATCCAAGTGAAATGCACTCTGATTTTAATAACAGCCCCTCATGAATCAAGCGTGAGCACTAGACCTTTACGTTTTTGCTCAACTTGCTCACTTCCCCCTCCCTTCCCCCGCTTATTCCTAACTTCTCCATGGGGGGAAAAGGTAAGGCTTACATTTTAGGTACATCTAGCCATGTGGGTTACTAGGTGGGTTTTGCTTTATGTATTATCTCTGTGAATACCTCCTCTCCTCTACTAGAGTGTAAGTTCCTTGAGGGCAAATTTTAAGTGTTTATGTGTATATGCATATTTGAAATAATGATATTCCTCCTTCACAATTTATAAAAATTATGTCTTTTCATTGTAGAGCACTTAGAAAATGTACTGAAGTTTAAAGAAATCAATAAAACCCTCCCTTTAAATCTTGTCACTGGAGTAACCACTGTGGACACTTGGGTCTATTTCGCTTTAAGCTCCATGTGTTTAGTTACAAGTTTAGGATTGTACTGTATATATGGCTTTGTTTATTGTACTTTGCATTCTGTGGGCTTTCTTAGAAGATACAGGCTTTTCTTAATTCTAGAAAAATCTCAGCCATTGTCTATTGGATGCTTCCCCTCCAACATTCTCTCTTTTCTCTCAAAATGTAGTTTCTTAATCAATTCTCCATGTATCTTAAACGTTTTTAAAAGTTTTCTCTCTGTTCTATGTTTATGCTATGTTTCGTCAATTCTGCATTCCACTGAACCAGCTCTTTTCATTTATGTCTGGTCTATTATTCTGCCTATCTGTCAAGTTTTAAATTTCGACAAATTTCACTTTATTTCTGAGATACATAATTGGTTCCTTTTCATACCTTCCTGCTTTTTCTTGTTTTATAAAAACTCTTCTCACTTTGTGGTTGTAAATCCCTTCTCTGTACCTTCGAGGATTAAAAAAAAAAAAACTTATTATGACGCCCTTCTCCGAGTGTTCTAGTATCTTTGTTTCTTCCAGTATGAATTCTTCCATTTTGTAGAATCTGATCGTTGGATGTCCTCATATGGTCTCTAATTTTTGTGTGTGAACTTATTTTCAAGGCAATTTTATGGTTTCTTCTGCCCTATATCTGTAAAGGGTGTGTGCTTTTAAACCACAGCTCCGTCAACCGCTCAGCTCAGAGCTCTCTTTCTACTCCATGTAGTCTGTGGTGCAGGTTCGGGTCCCAGTCTCATGCAGGTGACTTCATTTTGGCCCCTTGACACATACAGAGGCATCCTTCTGGCTGTGACTCAAGGTGCAGATGTTACGTTCCCATTCACAGCTAGCAGCGTGGTTCTGGGTCCAGTTCTGCCTCTTATTGCCTAGGTTAGGACCTCTGCCCATGGCTCATACCAGGCTCATTCCCCCATGGTCTTTGATTCCTACTTGAAATTGTGGCGTCCCATCTTAAGATCCATTTATTGTTAGGGAATCCCCTCTATTTCTGATCTGTAATTCTCTTTTCTTATTTCTAAGCACTACTATGTAAATTTTAAAACACCTAAGATTTATCTATAGAGTCTATGTCTTAGGAGGAGAAAAGGGAGGCTGCTGAATGTGTTCACTCTGATTTTGACCCAGTTATAGTTCACAACCTGCTTTTATTTTTTTCAAACTTGATTATGTATTCTTGGAATTTCCTCTTATCATTAAACAGACCTCTCTAACGTGATTTTAAATGGCTGCAGAATATTCTGTTTGTATCACAATTATTTGAACTAGTCTTTTTTTTTTCCAACTTTAGTAAAGTTAATTTCTGGTCTACACATGTAGCACCTTGCACTGACCTTGCCCTTTGCATTTGTTTCTTGGTAAATATTTGTTGACTGAATGAATCAAGTCATTGGTTTCGATGCCAGCTTACTGCAGTTCCCGGAAGAATTTACCACACTGTGGGGCAGGGCTTTCCATGCAGTGTTTGTTCCTAAATGCTGACTGATTTCATAGGTGTGTGCCAAGTCTTCTCTTCTCTCTAGTGGGCCGATAATTACCA